CCCCAAAACCCCAAAACCCCAAAACCCCAAAACCCCGTGAATACACATACTTAATTTTTCGATAAATACTCTTTGAATTTGTTAAATAATTAAATAATGAAGTACAATAGAAATCAAGTAAATTCTCCCGATGAAGTTGAGGGCCTCATACATCAATTAAAGCAAGATCTTGGTTTGACTCATTCCTCCTTTGCCACTGGAAACAGAACTACCAGAAACCTTTAAAATTCTCACAGGAAAACTTCATCACATAGCTTTATGAACCAAATCGACCTAGATAGCCCAGACAATAAATTCTTCGATTTAAATCAGTCTTATGATGCAGTAAATACCAATTCTAGGCATGGCTACGCTACTCAATATCAATCTAGAGTATCTATGCCTATTCATACTGATTTATAACTTGACGATGATGATAATTCCCTAAGTCACAATCAGCAATTAGTATAGCTCTTCACAATTGCAGGTAAGAATTCCTTACTGATGAAGTATGATTTTTATTTTATTTAGAAACTCTCGCTAAAGATTATAAGAAATCCAATATGAAGCTGTAAAAGCAGAGATATAAGTGCGAATAATAATAAGCTACGATTAATGAAAATGAAACTGAGATACAAACATTGAGACACAAAAGAGAGGAAGATGAGTAAATAATGCTATAACTTGAATCTGACTATGGAAACTTGAAGCTAGATTATCAATAACTACTGGATGAAGTGTAAAGACTAAATAGAGAAAATGAGCTGCTGAGAGGATCCCTCACTCACAATTCATAGCAAAAAGATGATCTATAGCTTGATCTAAAGCTGTAAACCCAGCAATTAAGAGACACAATCACAAATCTTGACAAAAAGATTGAGGATTCTAAGAAAATAATAAAAGAAATAGATGCTGATAGAGATTAATTATATAAAAGAGTTCAGTAATTAGAGAAGGAAAATATAAACTTGTCAGGTAATTTACAAGATAGCATTGAAGAAATGGGAATAATGAGAAGTGATTTGAGGATTATGAAGAAAAAAGAAGAAGACTACATTAGAAGACAATAGGACTTCGCATCACAGATTGAATACTTGGAACGATAGCTTGATGAATATCATGACTTAAGAAATCGTAAAGAAACACCAACCCAAATTTCTACATCGAACACGCCAAATAACCTGCAATTTTAGCTCAATCAAATGGGAAAAGATAACTAATTGTTTATTGATCTTAATGAAGATGAGCAGTCTCAAGAGGAGGAGTAGAAAGTGTAAGTAGAGGAAAAGTAGGCCACACCAAAATTATAAAAGTCATTTTAAAGTTTAGTACCTAAAATTGTCCTAAAATTAGACGACAATGAACTTGAGTACGATAAGAGTAATACACCGCTTCCCAACTCAGCGAGATAAGAATCTTCAAATCAAAAAGACAAAACCTTAGCTCATGAAATTAACGTTGAGGCATTCGACGATGCCTTCAGTAATGATGATGCAAATAACTAATTTATATTTAATGAACATGGGGAACTTAGCCCTAGATATACTCCCAATAAAGCTGGTAACTTTTAAAATGTTTTTAATTAAAAATCTTTGAGAAAAGATCTAAACAATTCTACAATTTGCGGATACTCCAGAACAGCTTTAGTAGCTAGAGTTAGACCATCTTCTAGAATAACAGCTGAAAATTAGATGGATTCACATACTGTTAGCCCTATATAATAAAACTGCAGTATCATCATGAATAATAATAATCCAAATCACAGTTATTTTGACTAATCAGTAATCCTCAACGAAAATGAGCTCTAACTAGAATTTAAATAATACTTGGGGAGAGTATATGCAGACATCGCCTTTGAAAAGTATAAGTAAATACTAAAAAATGAAAAGAAAATTTCAATTAAGGATATAAGGCAAAAGAGGAATTAAAGCAGATAAATGAATTCTGTTGAAAAGAGGTATCACACATAATCAGCATGCTAAGTACGATAAGAAGAAGAACTATTGTCAGATGGTTTTAGTTTTTCAGAATATCTTTAAAAATAATCTAATACTAATTCTACCCCACTAAGAAAAAATAATTAACCAACTATCAAAGTTACACCTTAACCATCTCCTATTCAAGAGGAGACCAATTAGGAAGGAAGCTCTAATTGCTCCATATTTTGATAACCTTAATTTTGTACAGACAAATATTTTTCCATTTAAAATTTGTATAGGCTGATTAATCATGATGGGGTTTTGGGGTTTTGGGGTTTTGGGAGTCTTTATCTCTCTTTTCTTCGTAGTCTATGTT